CAGTAATCAGGACATGTGCAATAGCATGTAAATAGGACTTAATCTTGGAAATGATTCAGGTGTGATTGAAATTGTATTTAACCACCAAATATTGCCTTTATAAAACTGCTATATTTTTTTCATCTTGTTTGACATGAAACCATTTTGTGCCTAGGTTTTTGAAGTCCTCCAATCTTTTATATTATCTAGGCAGTTGCTTTAAAGTTGTTTTGGTTTGAAGGGGGATAAAACAGAGTGTCAAAGTGAAGAGTGTGAAAGAGATATTGTATTTTTGAGTGATGTGGCCTTGTGGGAACCTGTAAATTAAGAAGACGGTTGGCCCTTAAACCAAATCTTGGAGGACGCCACATGAGAAAGGGTAGATGAGGATATGAATAACTTGCCAATGCAGACTGTCTCGGCTCTATTGGATAAATGCGTTCCAGTCCAAAGGTGGAACTGAGATCTGAGAACTGAGTTTTACAAAAAACAAGAAAAAAAAAAACAAAATAGCAAAGGAGTGAAAAATGCTTCTCTGTGAGTATGCATGCAAGAAAATGCTTCTCTGTGATGTGTGCATGAAAGGAGAAAAACATGAAGCTGTGTATGATGATCAAGAAAATACACTGACTAATTGTGGTAAAAACAAGTTAAAAGTTTAATAGGAAAATGTCAAGAGGTCAACCCTAAACTAATGTGGGACTGACTGACTGATGTATATAGACAGATATCAGTTACGACCAATGAAGATGACATTAGTGACTGAGTTTAATTTCTAAAAAATTGTTTAATCAAAGGTAATGAAATACTTGCTAAATTACTAGGTGATTGACTAATTGATGCATTCAATCATTCATTCATTGTAAACACACCCGGATCATCATCTAAATTTTTTCACGTTAGACAGCAATACTGGCACCCTTGTGACAATGTTGATGTACTCAGCACAGCATAAATATTAATCTTGCAACTATAATCTTTTCCACTATAAGGAATTTGTCAGACACAGCTGTATCCTCAGGGAGTATGAGAAGCTTGTGATTGCATTTACTCCACTTGATTTGCTTCTGGCACAATGATGTGTTTAAAATGTCATCACACAGTCTGTAGTTTTTTTTTTCTTTAGGGCACAGACCACTGCAAACCAGCAGTACACATTTATGGGGATAAATGTGTGGATTAAAATTGTTGTGACATCTTAAATCCACAAGGGAGAGGTATGTGTTTTTAACAGAGACAGTTTGTTAATGGATTTAGGCACTTATGTACACGTAACAGAAGTTTTCATCTGCTGAAAGAGTAACTTGAACTCAGTTAGGTGGCCCATTACAGTTAACTCTTGATCACCACAAACTGTCATCAAACATGAACTGATTTAAACAAGGTTTTTCAAATAAAATTATACAATTTATACCAATACTTGTAGTAAGTATCCAGATAGCTTATGGAGTTTTCTGTAATCTATTTAATATATACATGTGGCATACTTTCAACAAGGTGTTGGAAATATTCCTCAGAGACTTTGGTCCATATTGACATGATAGCACCACGCAGTTGCTGCAGATTTGTTGGCTGCACAACCATGATGTGAATCTCCCGTTCCACCACATCCCAAAGGTGCTCTATTGGATTTAGATCTGGTGACTGTTGAGGCCGTTGGAGTACAGTGAACTCTTTGTCATGTTCAAGAAACCTGTTTGAGATGATTTGAGCTTTTTGACATGGTGCATTATCCTGCTGGAAGCAGCCATCAGAAGATGGGTACACTGCGGTCATAAATGGATGGACATGGTCAGCAACAATACTCAGCCAGGTTGTCGCGTTTAAACAATGCTCATTTGGTACCAAGGGGCCCAAAGTGTGGAAGAAAATATACCACACATCATTACAACACCATCAGCCTGAACCGTTGATTCAAGGCAGGATGGATCCATGCTTTCTGACCCTACCATCTGAATGTCACAGCTGAACCCGAGACTCATAAGATCAGGCAACGTTTTTCCAATCTTCTCTCTGCTCAGTTTGAACTTCATCAAGTTGTCTTGACCACGTCTACATGCCTAAATGCATTGAGTCGCTGCCATGTGGTGGGCTGATTAGCTATTTGTGTTAACAAGCAATTGAGCAGGTGTACCTAATAAAGTGGCCAGTGAGTGTTATTTGATCTATAAACTAAGCTAACAAAACTGTTTATCCTCAATGATTCACTCTTCAGGATGTATTTTTCTGAATTACGATTATCCGCAATACTTTTAATTAGAAAAAAAGTGGACCTCCATTTTTAATTTCCTGTCAAACAGCAAAGAGTGTCAGAACAATATGTCAGATTATAAGAAGTGGGTATATGTCATTTCACAGGGCATCAGAGAGAATATGACAAGTGTCCAGTTTCTCAAACTGCATCACTGGCTCAGCAAAACCTCTATATTGCTCCTCTTGCATGAGTATGAGTCTTTGTATTACTTGCTTCTCATGAGCCCAAGGCGTGTGGGAATGTTTAGCAATGAGCGTGTAATGTTCATGCTCAGCTCGACTGGTTATTGTCTACTGATGACACTAGTGCGCGCCCCCCCGCACACACACCTTCCTGATGTCAGAATGGGCAGAGCTGTGTCCGACAGTTCTTATAACTTTCCCAAACTAACAATCCAACAATCGCACCCACTTCCCACAATGATTTGCGAGGTCTGTGAAAATATGCAGGGTTTGAACTTTTCCAGAAACACCTTCAGCTGTTGGACGACATGTTGTGCAAACTAGTTGATTTTAAGCATATTTGCTTTAAAGTTAGATCGTAATGAAATGGAAATTACTGCTATCAGCTTCTCCACCATTTTTAAAAGCACTTTTACATAGTTGAGTGGAATAGGAAACAATGTTCCATTTCCATGGGGAATGGGAGTAATGCAGCTCTGTCTGTCTTCTGTAATCACAGAATTTCCTCCCTCTACACACTAATTTGCATTCTGTTATTCGAGGACTTTGTCAGGGATCAATGTGGCATTTACTTCGTAATGGAACTCTGTAATAGTCCAAATGAAGATGAAGGACTCAGCCATCCTATTGACACGTTACTGTTTTGTTTGCTTCCATTGTCTTTAACAATGTTATGAAAATAGGGATTTATAAGACTGATCCATATTCTACTGTGTCCCACATGATTATCTTATTTCTCAGTACAAAAGGGTACCACTTAACATATTCAGTTCATGGTGCTAGTCATGAATTTCAGAAGAATCCCATCATAGTAGTTCCAGGCTTATTCGTAGAGTTCAGTTTTCAGCTGTGAACATTCAACATTCAAGCTTCATGAAGAGCCCTTAAGGCTTTCACACAACAGTCCTGAAGAACCTGAGTTTGATATTTCTTTCCACCATAAAGCATTCATATCAGCATCTTTTACCTATTTGTCAGTATTCCAAGTTATCAGGGATATAAATAAATAAATATATATATTTTGTGTGTCAGCACAAAATAATAAAGGTACAGCTTCAAGGGGTGTTCTGTTCAAACTACAATAAAACTACTGAAATAACAAAGAAGTACACATTATGAAGAAACAAGGCGAGGTGGAACTTGTTTCACTTTACGACTGAGCTACTATATCAGCGCAACGCGGAAGAAAGAGGAAACCACTGGTGTATAATCACTGGACGAAAACAAACTACTGTGGAAAGAGACTGTTCAGAAAGTTATTATACAGTCTATATTTATAGAGCATACGCAAACGAGAGCATGATAGGACATTCAGTTGTTTGGGCTGGACATTGGATCTTGATCGGATCCTAATGTGGATACTGGAGACACATTAATACCAGGTGTGAATGTATTTAGGTTAAAGTCATATCTAAATACAATCTGGACACAAGAGCCACTTTAATTCCAGGAGTAAATGGCCCGATATCCCCCGATAGCTTCACCATGCTGTTCACACAATCCAGCAAGTATTGGAGGGATTACTTTGAAATATGGCACAGATATTCACATGCCCACTTAGGATGATTTGTAACTTTGTGGATCTGGTAACCGTTCATCTAGTTCCACCAGCAAGTCAATACTTTGGTTTATGCGCAAATACCTGCAAAACTAATGACATTCCCCTCAGCCTCAGCTGTACTTTGTGTTATGTGCTAAATATCAAATGTTTGCATGCTAATGTGCTAAACTAAGATGGTGACCATGGTTTACCTGCTAAAAAAAAAAAAAAAAAAAAAAAAACCATCCTCTCTCATGCCTCAGTACAATCCTTACAGAACTGCTTGCATGGCTGTGATGAGAGAGATAAAATTTGTTTATTTGTTTACACTTGAATGCTTCTTTGTATTAAAGAGATGGCATAAAGAAAGTATCTTCAGGATCCTCGCATGGCCAAATGGATCCTGGTGACTGATTGCATTGAGCCAAAAACACAGCCTGACACTGATTTAATACTCCACCACATTTTGACTTACTTAACATTTCATTCCTGGCTCCAGAAAGCACTTAAATACTCATTCTGTTACACATCACCTCTTCTCACGACTGCGTCTTCATTATGATATATGGAGTGGACAATCAATTAAAGATTTTCAGCAAAGACCTATGCCAGATGTCTGTTTTAGCCACAATGAGTTTATATCCAGGTGCTGATTGAGGATATATCTCTGTCTCAACAACTTTAGCAGAGAGATGAAGCATGTTACTCTAATCACAGATGCTGCAGAAGCTGGACCTCCAGTCTGATGTAGGGACTGGGGCTCTTGTAGGAAAGTTTCCCCAATGTGTCTGGGTCCTACATGTGCTAACCGCTGAAACCAGAACAAAACCACCACAGTAGACTGTAAACACAAAGGGTGTGTGTGTTGGAGAGCCTTCTGCCAGCTCTTCACACCGACATGTCCTCTAAGGAGTGATGAATGATCCACTGAGGAGTTTCTCGGCAGTCAGAGAAGCACATGTAGCATATACGTGGGGTTACAGAAGATAAGGTTTTGACTCAAGGGAGGTGTTGAAAAGGCAAATAATGAGACTGAGGCCGATAATTTTTTTGGTGTTGGTACCATATTTTATGTGGAAACAAAAATAATACCCAAAATATTAACAATCTGCAGAAATGTTGGTTTTGATAAAGTACACTTTTTTCAGTTCCAATTCAGTTCCGTTGACTCAGTAGTTCACAGAAACAATAAACAAAATACAGCAACAAATTGAGGAGTACTCAGATTTAAGGACAGTCACAACACACTATAGGACATTTTCTTTTGTTCATGAAAGTAGTCCATAAGCCAAGGCTTACTGAATGGCTGTGTGTGAGAATGAGAGTGGAGGGGGTGAGCAAAGCAACAGCCTCCAACCAAACCCACAGGGGCCGATGAGGTTGTTGGGGCAGGTTCTGTTCCAGGTAGTAGTAGCTCGCCTGCAACTGGCCTGCATTAAATAAACAGAACCCATGGTTTAATCACTACTCATTAGTTTATCCACTAGCTAGTTTTATCTTCTATATTTTGTTTTATGTGTACACAATGGCATCCAAAATATGGCATAAGTAGTTGTTAAATGACAGCAACTTGTACAAAAAGTACTTAAATGCATGTAAACACCCAGAAAGGATTTACAACATTCCATTCAATACAATTGATAATCTTGTCACTCAGTATGTAAATAAACCATTTAAATACTTAAACAAAGCCATAGCATTGAAAACAATGCATTATCATTCATTGAACCCAATAAAAACTCCATAGGAGCAATGGAAAGCAAATGCTACTAGCATTGCTAATGCTACCAACCACCACAGCCCATTGAATTACATTGAGATGGCTAATGCTATTAGCTAGTGGACACAACAACAACAAACAGACTCACCAATTCCCACAGATATTCGACACACCACGGCACCAGTCGTCTTCTAAAGACCACGGTAGTGGGCACTACAAATACATAATCGCATGCTAGAGTCAAACAAGCACTTAAGACGGAAAATAAGTGAAAATAGCATTGTTTGTGTAGAGACATACCGAGTGCACCTGCTCCGGTGGCTTCCCCATCACACTACTGATTGGGGAAACTCACCTCAGCTTGTAAAACGCGCTCGAGTGCTATGATAGGTTGAAAGCGTTCATTGAAACTACCATGTGACTCAAGGGTGTGTCTGGTGGTGTGTTCAGGTGACTCAAAAAAAATGGGACCATGGAATTTTAACCTGGGTTACACACAGATGCTCAAGTTTGTCCAGTCCAAATACTTTCTAAATATATTTTCAAAATGATCTGCTCCCTGAAGCTTCCCTGGGAGAAACTGTTTAGCTTGACAATTTTTGTATCTTTGACTCATGCTACAATGCAGAGATAAAGTTGTGTCTTGATGTAGGATGGACAAACAAGTTAGAGAATATTAAAGAAAGCTGGGGGACAGAATCGTTTTTAACATATGGCAGATCAATCTTACTATAATAATAATCTTTATTTGTAGAGCACTTTTCAAAAACAAGTTACAAAGTGCTTTAACAAGTTTAAAGACAATAATACAAAAACAATACAAGATGAAAGCATGAAAACATTGAAAAGACTAAAATACACATTTAAGATAAACATAAAATTAGTAAAATAGAATAAAATAAAAGGTCAATAAAATAAAGTCAAATAAGATCGGGAAAGGCTCTCCTATAAAAGTATGTTGAGTTCACTGACTCAGCTGACCTGATTTCCTCGGGCAGGCTGTTCCAGAGCCTCGGGGCCCTGACAGCAAACGCTCTGTCCCCTTTAGTTTTCAGTTGAGACTCTGGAACAGACAACAGACCTCTGCCCAAGGATCTCAAGGTACGTGCTGGTGTGTATGGGACTAAAAGTTCAGAAATATAACAAGGCGAGAGGCCATGAAGAGCTTTAAAAGTGATCAATAGAATTTTAAAGTCAATTCTAAAACATACTGGGAGCCAGTGTAATGATGCTAAAATAGGAGTAATGTGATCATATTTCTTTGTTCTGGTTAAAAGCCTGGCAGCTGAGTTCTGGACAGTCTGGAGTCGATCAGTAGATTTTTGGGTTAAACAAGTGAAAAGGCTGTTGCAATAATCCAGGCGTGATAAGATGAAGACGTGTAAAATGGTCTCGGTGTCCTTAAAAGTTAACATAGATCGAATTTTTGCTATATTTCTAAGTTGATAAAAACATGATTGAACAAGCTTTGTGGTGTTCTGCTCGAAATTTAAATTACTATCAAACTAAACACCAAGGTTCTTTGCCACAGGCTTAATGTGATTTACTAGGGAACCAGCAGATGGCAGTATTTGTGACCAGGATTTCTGTTATGTCTGAGTTCAGCTGGAGGAAATTATTTAACATCCATTTTTTAACTTCACAAAGGCAGTTGTTAAGTGAACTCAGCATTCCAGGGTCTGTGGTTCTGACGGGCAAGTATATTTGTGTGTCATCAGCATAAATATGAAAAGAAATGCCATGTTTATGGATAATAAGCAGATACAAGGAAAACAAAATGGGTCCTAAGACTGACCCCTGAGGCACACCATATTTAACTGGACAGAACAAAGAGACATAGTTGTTTACAGACACGCAAAACTTATTTGACAGGTAGGATGAAAACCATTCTAGGGCAGTACCAGAGATCCCCACCCAGTGCCTCAGTCTGTCTAACATGATGTTGTGATCAATGGTGTCAAAAGTAGCGCTAAGGTCCAGGAGTACTAGGACTGAGCACATACCTTCATCAGCAGACATTAAAAGGTCATTGGTGACTTTAAGCAGGGCAGTCTCAGTGCTGTGGTACTTCCTGAAACCATTATTACTCACTGCAACTAAAACCCGGAACTAAAGTGAATAAATAAAAAAATCCATCCAATCCAATAATTTGGGCGTTAATATGAAATAGTATTTATCAAGTAAGGACCAGATCCAAAAGAATATCTGAACAACTTGCAATAAAAGAGATCCATCTGGTTAAAACCACAAATGACAAAAGGTCAAACAGAAAACAGTAATTTTATTGAATGGGTTGAAAATGTAGTCGTCACCACTATACTCTATATTCCTCACAACTGATCATACAGGCTACAGTGTAAGTGAGTGACTATTATTAATCAAAACACTTGTATGCTCAGGATGAACTGCCATAATCCTTCCTTGATATTTTTCCCCAATATATACATAAACTGTTACATAAAACCTGCTGACTGATATAACACTTTACTGATTAGATTTAAAGGTTAGAGTTTGTCTTAGTTATAACCTGTAATTTATGAAACATCCAGAAAAAATATCCAGGACCTTGTTAATTATGCAGGCTTAAGTGTTGCGATTAATTAATTTCATTCATTCGTTAAAAGGCCTGATGCCACTGGTTTAGCTATGGTAATCCACAATGAAATTACAGTTTTCCGGCAGAAACCATATCATGCCTGTAACTCAAAACCATAATTAATCATAAATGTGGTCCTGTGCCTTTTGTATTTTGAGAAAATTAGATTAAGGAATTGGTCTTTTTTAATGTTCCCAAGTATTCTTTCACATACGTGCTGAATTAGCAATGGCAACTGGGTGTTTAATATTGCTAATTTCAATCAAATGTTCACTCTTTATAATGGCAAAATATGATTTATGCCTTGATAGTGTAGGTGACCATATGTCAAAATTACAATCTATTACCTACTGATTCATTCATTTTTAGACCAATTACAAAGAGGTAAGTCTTCACCTTTACTATTACTGTAGCCAGTGGCCTTTTAGTTAATGTGTCATTATTAAATTTGTACATTTCTGGTCAATTAATTCAGACATCTATTAGAGGCTACGACAGATTTTAAAAGTCAAAGTCGTTTTACTCTGGATTCTAAATGTGCTCTCCACAAGATTTCTTCAATAGTGATTCAAGTGCAAATTAAGCTTTTGAAGCATCTCTCAAATGTCCTTGAAATACACCATTCTTGCTTTTATTCTAATGTTTGTATCACCTCACATATGATCAAATTCATTCTGAAATCAGTAGTATTAATGGGCGGCACGGTGATACAGTGGTTAGCACTGTCGCCTCACAGCAAGGTTGTTGGTCTCTCCGCGTCTGTGTGGGTTCTCTCCAGGTGCTCTGGCTTCCTTCCACCATCCAAAGACATGCAGGTTTGTTAATTGGTGACTGTTTATTGTCCTTAGGAGTGAGTGTGGGTGTGACTGATTGTTGGTCTAGGTGTGGCCCTGCGATGGACTGGCGACCTTTCCAGTGTGTACCCCGCCTTTTGCCCGATGTCAGCTGGCATTGGCTCAAGCCCCCTGCGACCCTGTGCGCAGGATAAAAGGTTAATTCTGTAGTGTAGGTGATGGATGGATGGATGGGTCAGTAGTATTCAAGGGGGTAAGCCAGAGATCGGACAGTGAAGCCGACCAAATCCTGCATGGAGGGATCCATGTAGGCCCAAAAATGACTCTCATCTCATCTTATGGGGCGGCTGTGGCTCAGGAGGTAGAGCGGGTTGGCCGTTAATCGGTTCAATCCCCGGCTCCCCCTGGTTGCGTGTCGAAGTGTCCTTGGGCAAGATACTGAACCCTGAATTGCTCCTGGCGGCTATTCCGCCAGTGTATGAATGTTAGTTTCCGTTCGAGCAGGTGTATGAATGTGTATGACTGGTGAATGCAGATGGTGTAGATGTGTGATGTAGTGTGTAGTGTAAAAGCGCTTTGAGTGGTCGAAAAGACTAGAAAGGCGCTATACAAGTACGGAGCATTTACATGCATGGTTACATCTCTCATGTGCACATGATGTAACCGTATTGCTTAGATTATAAACTCTCAGCAATCTAAAAAAAACTATTCGGCCATCAGTGACGCTGCGTTGGTGCCTCGTAGGTGGGCTGATTAATCAGTGACGATCCTAGTCAGACAAACACGCTGAGCCATGAAACTTTTTGTTGGTGCAGCTATGCAGCTTCCAGAATTACGGCGTTTCTGCCGTTGTTCTACGTCATTAAACCACTGTTATGCTGCGCGATCATGCAAGGTAAACGCTGGTGCCAACAGGAAGTAGCCCTGTAGTAGTATTTTATTGGTCCAAAACTGGCTTCACTCCTCTCCATTCAAATCAGCGGAGTGGCTTCGTCCAGTAATATACTGTCTATGGTAGTATTACCTTGACAAAAGTAAAAATGAGCTTACCTCTTTTCTGATGTTATTTGTGTAGTATTTGAATACAAAATACAAAAAAAATAAAGAAACAGATCTTAACCAATGACACGAAGGACTTTATTTTAGGCTGGCCAAGTGTAGAGGCAGGAAACTGAGTTAACACCAGAGGCTCTGATGCAGGATGAAAGTTTATTTAAACACTAACAGAAAATCTCAGGCTTACGCAAAGTGAATCAGAGGTCTGAACAAAGGCAGGTATCCAGACATGAACATAAATCCAAACTAGGTTTCAAAATCCATAGCAAGGCAAACACTGCGACCACCAGCGAAACACTTAATAAACAACGGCAACGCCACACTGAATGCTGAACACAACAGAGGACAATATATATTGGAGCACACCACACACAAGCAGGCAGGGCAAATAACCACAGGTGAGACACATCAGGAATCAGGGCAGACAGGAAACAAAGCTAGACAAAAACACCAGACACTGACAATACAAAATAAAACAGGAAGTAAAGCATGCAACAATACACAAGGACAAAGGTAACAGAAAACAACAGAAGATGGAACCAATGATCAGTACAAAGGTATTTGCCTGATTTTCTAAATGTTTGCATCTGCTCAGCTCATGGATATCTGTCAAGTGCCTGAGACCAGCGTTGATGACAGCTCATTTCGGTTAACGAAGCAAAATGTAGATTACAGACTTGTTAAATTAAATGAGAATGAAACATGTAGCAAAATTAAAGTAGATTACTGGCCCAAAGAAAATACTGGAGTAAAGAGTAAAAACACAGTTAAAAGGAATAATAAAAGGAATGTGAAAAGTTTGTTATTTTATTTATTTATTTTACAAATTTGCGTTACTTGTAACAAGATACCCATCCTGCTGCAGACATCACCAATACTGTCTTCGGTTTGGC